AATAAAAATAAAATCAGGAACAGTAAAATTGAAAGCAAAGAGAAGTTTTTCAAAGCCAAAAATTATTTCTTTAGAAAGATGAAGATTATATAAATCAAAATAAGAATAATTAATAAATAAGAGAAAAGTCACAAATTACCAATGTGAGTAATGACAGAGGACACCACTATAAATCCTACTGATCCTACATAAAGGGAATTTATGCAATAAACTCAACAACTTTAAATGAAAATCACAACTTATCAAAACTGAAATGAAAAAAATTATTAATCTGAATAGCCCTATACATCTATTAAATTGAATATGTAACCAAAATCTTCTCGCAAAGATAACTTCAGAATTAAATTAATTCTATTAACATTTAAAGAATATTTAGCAGCATTTTAAACAAATTTTTAGACAATAAAGGAAGAAACACTTCCCAAATCACTTCGTGGGATTAAACTCTATTATCAAAACCTGATGTAGGTATTACAAGAAAATTACACACCAGTGTTCTTCATGAATGTAGCTGTAAAAATCCTCAACAAAAATGCTAGCATAGTTGAAATTTATACCAAGAATATGTTGGTTTCACATTTGAAAATCAATCAGTATAATTCAACATACAGACAGAATAAAGGAGAAAAAGTTGGATCATCTCAATGAATGCAGAAATAGCATTTAACAAAATTCTACACCTTTTCATGATTTTAAAAAAGTCTCAAAACACTAGAAGTAGAAGAGAATTTCCTCAATCTAATGAAAGAAGCCTATAGCTAACATATTTAATAGAAACATAGTGAACACTTCCCCCCAAGATCAAGAACAAGGCAAAGTTCCTACTCTCATCATTTCTGTTTAGTATATGCTGGAGGTCCTACCCAGGGTAGTAATGCAAGGGTAAAAAAATAGAAGGTATAGCAATTGAGAAAAGCAAAAGTAAAGGTCTTTATTTACTGAAGACCTGATTGTTTATGTAGAAAATTCTCAGTAATCTACAAAATGGCTACTGGAACTCATGGGTGAATTAAGTTAGGTTGCAAGAAACAGGGTCTGAATACAAAAATCAGTGGTATTTCTATATACTAGTAGCATTCAACTGGTAATTGAAATTATAAGATTCATTTTCGGCCATGTCAAAACCCAAAATACTGAGAAATAAATTTAACAAAACATATGCCAGACTTCTAAAATGAAAACTATGAAGCATTGTGAAACAAACAAGGCCTAAATAAATGGAGAGATATATCATGTAGGTGGATTGAAAGACTCAGTATAGTTCTCTTTAAATTGATCTATAGATTCAACACAGCCCAAGTTAAACTCTCAACAGATTTTTATACAGAAGATGATAAGTGGATCTTAAAATCTATATGGAAATGCAAGGGCAAACAAACGTTGAACAAAACCAAGTTGAAGAGTTTCTTTAAGACTTACTGTGAATCTGCTGTAATCAAAGCAGTGTGACATTGGTGTAACAATGGACAGACAGGTAAATGAAACAGGTGGATCGATGGAGAGTCCAGAAATAGATCTGCACACACGTATAGTCTGTTGATTTTCAACAAAATACTGAGGCATTTCAATGAGGAAATAGAGTCTTTAACAAATGGTGCTGTGACTACTGGATAACCATACAGAAAGAGGAACAACACTCAGTATCTCACACAATACACAGAAATTAATGTTGAATGGATCATAGACCAAATGTAAATTTTAAAGCTACGAAGATCTAGAAGGAAACATATGAAGGTATTTTTGCAACTTACGGCTAAACAAGGATTTTTTTGAGACACAGAGAGCACTACTATAAATAACGATAAGCCGGACTTCATGAAAATTAAAAACTTCTGCTAATCAAACGTCATCGTTAAGCAATAAACTAATCTAGATAAGGCATATATGAGTCTTCTGTGTCTTAACCTTGACACTTTTCTCTAACTTAGAGATTATTTCCAAATAAAACCATTAAGATAATAGGCTAGAAAATATTCATAATACATATATCTGACAAAGGACATGTATCTAAAATATTTAACAAACTCTTACAATTATAAGAAGAAAACAGCCCGATAAAAATTGAACAAAGACTTAACAGATATTTCACAGGATGTACCTGTAGACATGTATAAAAGTATCCAATGTCATTATTCATAAGAGAAATGCAAATAAAATCACAATGATCTCCATTTCACAATGATATCCCCTAGAATTAGCTAACATTAAAGTCTAATAGCACCAAAATTTGGTGAGGATATGGAACCACTATGGAGAACTGTTCCTATAAAGTTATACATGTATCTCCCCAGTGACCTAGTAATACCATTCCTACTGATCAAGAGATTGAAAAGACATGTCCACAAGAAAATTCTTCAAGCATATTCGTACAGGTTTTATTCGTTAAGAAAAACTGATACTGGAAACAAATGCTAATTAAGAAAAGAATGAATAAATTGTTGGGTTGCCATACAAGACGCAGCAATTTAAAAAAAGAACTATCGATTCATGCTACAACATGAATAAAACCCAGACACTTCATGTCAAGTGAGAGAAGCCAGTTGCAAAAGAGTATATTCTGCATCATTCCGTTTATAAGTTCAAGAACAGACAAAACTCATCCATGGTGATTAAAAATCAGGAGTGAGGATTGACTTAAAATGGGCCAGGAGCGAACTTTCATAGGGTGAAGGAAATGTTTTCTGTTTTATTTAGAGTGGTGATTACATGGGTGTATAGATCTATCAAAATACATGAAATTGAGCACTAAAATCTTTACATTTCAGTTACAGAAGTCTTATCCCAATAAATAAATAAAAGAGACCATATCTGTTTGTTTTTCTGATACCCATTCATCATGCAGAGTAGAATGTTGTCCCTCTTATTGCTTCTTGTCGTACACAGTAAATTTATAAGCCTCTTCTTTGGCACAAAGGCCCTGCATGATTTGGCTCTTTCTTCCTTTTTCTACCTCATGTCCCTTCCTTCCCTACTGAGTCCTAGCCCTGCTGGCTTTACTTGTCTGAAGTAGTTCATTTCTTGATATTTTCTAGTTCGGTCTCTTTTGTTTCCTTCATGGCATTTAGGATAACTTGCATATATGTTGTCTCTATTCATTTTTTACCTGGCTTTTCCACTAGAATAGAAACTCCAAGAGGATAGAGACCTTGCCTCTTTCACTATTGTATTCCCTGATGTATTCCCATGATATTGCTTGGCTTGGGGGCTCAGGGAGTATTTGTTGAATATGTGAATGAACGAATGAACGAATGAATGTTTCTCTTGTTCCATATGTTGATAAAGTGGTAGTGTACTCAAATGCTCCTTTGTTTAGAGTTTGATTCTTACCAATTCAAATAAAAATAACATAATTCTGTCCCTACAAGCAAAGCAAAGCTTAATAAAACTGCATCTCTAACTTTTGGTTGATGCAACCAAACTTTTTGTTTGATGCAAGGGAATTTTTTGTTCTCTTTTTCTTTCTAGAAACACTATATAGTCTTTCCTTCTAGTTCCTAATCAAAACGTCTTACAGAAGAGACTTGAGAGCATCCCTTATTAACAGTGCCTTCCAAACATATTTGATCCTGAATCCTATTGGTAAAATGTTTGAGCACACCAACAATGTGGGTAAATTTATTTATTTCAAAAATATATAAATGTCTTCTTGTTCTACTGTATAATGAAACATGCACAAATACAACATTTTAAAAAGATGATGTGAAAAGTAGTTCCAGTATTTTCCTCCTCCTCCATGTGCTCATCCCACTTTGAAGACATTACCTTGGAGCAAATATTCTACATTTACTGATAAATGTAAGTGTAAATCTACAGTAGTGTTAACATTTTTGCATTTTATACTTTACCTCTGAGTATGGATTGAAAGGCTTTGTTGCTTTTTAAATGAATTTATATTGTTTAGTTCAGATAAGGTAGAATTTTTTTGGTCCAGGGCATATTCTGAAATCATTGTCACCTAATTTTTACTGTACTTATCCTTAACATTGTTCAATGATAGTTTTTCTACAGAAAAATATATATAGTATTCTAGAGGGAAGAAGTAATGAGATTAGAAAAGTAGGAAGGGGAGGCAGCTCTAGAAAAGGCTATGATGATTTTTTTTAATTGTTAATTATACTATACACATTGGTAGTAGTATATTTGAATGAACTGTTGTCTCCTTGATGGATTGCTACTTACAGAAAATTAGCAGTTAGTTCATCTAGACAAAGCTACTTAAAAGTGGAAAAATCACTGTTTTCCAATAAAAAGACAGTTTTTAAGGAAGCATCAGTTCTTCAACATAGCAACCTGAGACAGGTTTGGAGATTTTAAGCCTGCTGTGTTACCTCTGAGACCTAAAGGAAGCAGAACATAAGAATGAGCCTCTATCAATTTGAAGCAAACCTAATCTTTGTGATCACGGCTGTGGTCTTAATCTATTAAAGATGTTCAAATTCAGTGTCCTTGGTATCACTGCAGGTTGACCTGAAAAGTGAGCAATAAACTTGTGTATTATAATTCTGGTTTGAAGATATGTGCTTAGGAAGTGAAACCGACAGTCAGTGTTTTGTGTCTGTCTCTAAGCAGACTAAGAGCCTATATAAAATGACAGGTGCATTTTTGGAGAAAGAAACCCATAATGTTTTTCTATTTAGTAGGTGACAGTATGTCCCAAGATAACACAAGCTTAAGGGGCTGGAACAAGCATGGTTATTAAAGGCTAGCAGTTTCTCAGTTCATACAAATTGAATTTTTCATAGGCTGGGAGACTGGAAATCTGGTGTAGAATACCGAAATAATTTAGCATATTAAGTGAATTTATACATTCAGGCTTGTGAGCACTTTGAATTTAAGGAAGAAATTTTATTACTTCTTGAAAGAAAAAGGCAGTTTTAAAATTCTGTGTTTAATCTCCCCGTTGGAAAGGTCCTATATGATAAATTGTATCATTTTGATGATTATTAAAAGAAGAGGTTATTATATTGATGAGAATCTTTCTCTTTTCTCTCTTTTCTCAGAATTACTGATTTAAGGAACATAAAAAGAAGATTGTATTTATCAACAGTCCATAAGGAACTGTCCTCAACCCCTCTTCATGCAAAAATCCCACTCTTCATGATCAAGCGCAAAATTGTAAGTGTCACATAGAATGTTGCTTAAAATATTAAATTCATTTCAGCAAATATTAATTCTGGGCCTACTCTGTATATGAGACACTTTGTTAAGTTCCATGATGGTATAAAAAATGAATAAAAATTCATACTCTTCCTTTTCCTCCAGTGAAGAACTTAATATCTACTAAGTGGGAAAATATAATTGTTTGAATATCTAGAATATCACCAAAACTGTGATAGGAAGCACAGCAGAGAGAAAAAGTGCTGTTGGTACTGTGAAAGGGAAAGAAATCCATCTACCTGCAGGATAAGGAAAGGCTTCATGGAGGAGATTGTACTGAGCATGGACTTTGAAGGACTATAGAATTTCAAAAGGTAGAGGTGAAAAGTGCAGCATTCCAAGCAGAAGGAACAACATGAGTGGAAGCATGGAGGCTGGAAAGTCGTACGTGTTTGGAGAACAGAGAATGAGTCATCATTGTTGCCAGAGTTTTTAAAAATAGCTTTATGGCAGCAACAGTCCTACAGTACAACAGCCTGATATAGATTGGGGATTTGTGTACCCTCTGAGACTTAAAGCAATATAATATGTAGGTAGATGAGCAGTAGGTTACAGGCTAAGAAGCTTGGGCCTTATCTGACTGACTAGTCTTTCTCAGACTTCAGTCATTTCAGTACTACTTTCATGACTTTACCATGTTTGTGTGCAACTTGTTCCAGAATGTACTTAATACATTCTTTTAAATCAGTTTAACTTTTTTTTACTTAAATAAAATTTTTTGAAACTTTATGTCACACTTGTAAATGGAAAACCAGTATAACTTTCCAAAAATAAAAAGTAACCGTAACGATAAACATGCTGAAATCAAAACAATAGTCTAGCTAAGTACTGTTTCCTGTTTAGGGCTCTGTCCTGAAGCCTGCTCTTTGTTAACAAGAGTTAATAAGGGTTAGATACGTATTCAAACTTTTGGGGGGGCATAATTAGGATTGAAAGAAAACTGGTAAAAGGATGTTTTTATTCTTTGATTGAGTCATTTAATGCCACGCCCATGTACCATCTAAAACTATTACACAAACAGTGCCATGTTCTACTCTTTGGGAACCACTATAGCAGAGAAAAGGAATCCATTAGAGCTTTTGGTTTGGAGAGGAACACAGAGTCAGTTCTGTGCTTTGGGAAGATTGTTAATTTGCTAGTGACATTTGGAATGGTTTGGAAGGGCTTTGAAATTATGATACGAGGAAAATGCTGAGGAGAACATTTGCAGTAATCCAGATTAGGTTTAATGAGCCCTAGGGCATTAGCAGTAGAGAAACGGATGTGAGACAACATCAGAAACTTACAGTCCACTGAGCTAAGACATATTTATACAGAGCTTTTCCATATCATGTGGTACCTGCTGCAAGAGCAGGACCCATAGTGAACAAGGGAGCACAAGGGGAGGGGTCAGAGAAGGGCTTCTGAAGAAGGGGATGTCTAAGCTGGACCTTGAAGGTAAGAAGGCATTAACCAATTCGAGTGGCGGTGATATTCCTGGGACAGAAAGAGCAGCATTAAGAGTAGCTGCACGAGTGTAAAGGCAGGTCCAATAATCCAGTGTTGCTGAAGAGAGACCAGAATAGTAATAAGGCAAGGAGGGAGGCAGAGAAACCTCCTGGTGGCCCTTGTATTTTTAGCCAGGGAGCCTGGACTTTGATCTCGTAGGTGATAGGGAGCTATTGAAGGGCTTGTAGCAGGGTTGACATGGTCAGATTTACATTTTAGATAGAACATCATTTTGAGAAGGATGAGACTCAAGGCCAGCAGAACCAGTTAGAAAACCAATGTAATTGTCACAAGAAAGTAAGTTCCATGAGAGCATGGGTTTTGCATCATTTTATCACTCTTGTATCCCAGTGCCTATAGCAATACCTGGCTCTTCCTAGGCACTCAGTAATTATGTAAGTGGATGGATGGATGGATGGATGGATAAGTAGATGATCTAGGTTAGAGTGATGATGTCCTAAAATTGGAAAATAGAAATTAGGATGGAGAGGAGGGAACAGAGTTAGTTGGAAAATAACTAAAATTATAACTGAAGATTAATTAGATGTTTTAATTAGATTGATTAGAAGGGGAAGAAAACATCAAGGATGACTCTCAGGTTTCTAGTTTGGATGACTAGTAACATAATCAGTATATAGAAAAAATCCAGGGGAAAGAGCATATTTTAAAAAGGAAGATGAAAGTGTTGATAAAAGAGTCTGAGACATTCAGATTGAGAATTTGAGGGATACATATATATTAGAGTCCTGGATATTTGGGCTTCTTCAGCATACAAGTGGCAGTTAAAGTCATGAGATAGATGAAACTGCCTGCAGAGAGAGTACATAAGGGCACCACTAACCACAGAAGAGGTTAGAGGAGGAAATGCAAGGGCCCACCAAGAAAAGAGATGGACAAAGGAAGAAGAATGCATGAAGGAGACAGGGCAACAATGAGAAAGTGACTTGAAGCATGAAGCAAAGTGTGGTGGAAACCAAGAAGTTCCCATAAGAGAGAATAGTCAAGATGTGAAAGTGTGTGAGGTTGTGGTGATCACAAGGCCGTTAGTAACTTCACTGAGAAGTTTTGGCGTATGAGGAAGGAGGCAGGCCAGCGGGCTGAGCAAATGGAAGGTGGAGACATGAGTGCATGCCGCCATTTCTTTCAGTCACATCCACTGGGCTTTATGTTCAAGTAGATTTTTTTTTTAAGTATCAAAGTTAACTTTGAAGTTTTGAGTCTGGAAAACTTAAGAGATTGACATCCCAGTAACAGGTAAGTGCTGGATTGTGGAATAATGGATGGTTTCTGTTTGCAGTACAATCTTTTAAATTTAATTTGCATTAAACATTCATAAATTCACAAAGATTAAATTCAAATATTCTAGTTATTAAAATTAAGTCATTAAGACATTAAGGAAATGCTTTAATGCCTTACAAATGAAATTGTGTTTGTTCTCTTATGTTTGAGTATGAGGTCCTTCTTATTCATCTAAGACTGTTTAGAGCTCAATATTATGTGGTTTCCAAGAGTTAAATCATATATGAGACCAATACACTATTCTGTGTGTGGTTAATAAATCAAGTTTACCATTATCTTGTTTTATGAATTCAGTCACCCTTGTCAGTTAACCAACCACAAAGTTTCTGGATATTATATTAAAATCTAAACATACTCTGTACATGGCTATAACACACACACACACACACACACACACACACATATACACACATACACATAAATGTGTACCCTTAATCCAGTGGCATTCATGAAAATATAGTATTTGAAAATAAAATACTGGCTATTACAAGTAAACTACACAAATATCTTGCTGAGATAGGAAGTGAACTTGACTGAATGATCTTTCATATTTAGCAAATTAGTCCTTAAGAGGAATATGTGTTAGCAGTGCTAGGTATGTAATGACATAAGAAATGTACTATTTAAACTAAAAGGAAAATAGCTGCCATAGGCCCTGTGAGGCAGTATGCAGTAGCTCATCTGCTTCATCTCCCTATCTCCAGCTGGACAGTTCAACAGAGAGTATGAAAGAAAGGAGATGCAGCATGAAAGTTACACGTAGTTGTTTAAAAAAAAATCCTAGTGTGTAAAGAATCAAACTCGTCTCTATCTTAAGTGACTTTAGCTCTTGCTCAGTTTTAAAAAGCAAAATGGTCACAACACATCTAGAACTTTTCTTTGAATGTAATTGAATCTAGAAAAACTGCTCACTTACATCTGAGGCAGTCCTGAGCAATAAGCAAAAGCAAGATATTTGTTTCTATAGTGTTCCCCATCCCAGGGAAATTATCAAATCATAAATACTTGTAATATATTGTAATTAATCTGTATTTTATGAAATATAAATATGTAAATAATGTGTAAGCATTAAGAGTATGGATTCTGTTTTGACACTTACTAGTTATGTGACCCTGTGCAAGTTCCTGTGTTCATTTTCCTCATTTATAAAATGAGATAATGTAAGGTATGCATTCTATTAATGTTGTTGTGGGAATTTATATGAGTTAATAAGCATAAGACTTTTAGAACAATACCTGGATTAGACCAAGCTTTAGATAAGAATTATAGCTCCTATTTGCTCTTTACGTGTTACTTCTTCCAGAAAGCCCTCCATAATTTCCCATCTGCTGATAGACATTTTGGGTACAACTCATCATTACCATTCACAAATTTGTAACTCTCATGACACTTCTTCACCTTGCACTTTAATCATTTTTATACTCATCTGTCTCCCCTTTTAGGCTGTAAGTATGTCTCATGTGGCTATTATCCCTCATCCCTATCAGTACATGGCACATAGTAAGTGCTCGATAACTTAATGTGCCTCCTGATATGGGAAATAAAATATGAGTTTATTATGGAAAAATTATATAAGCTTTCTAACTGTTCTTGCCTATTCCAGAAATGTCCAGGAGTATTCAAACAAATGTTAAGAAATTCAGTTCTAAAACTTGCTCTTATTTCCCGTAATTTTTCTCCCAATCCAAGAGATGCTACGGCAACAGAAGGTCTTTCCTTTCCACTGCTAGTATAATCTATTCCAAATGAGCCCTTATTGAATTAAAGCTGAGACATATTTAAGGGAAATTTCTTTAGAGAACAGCAAGGTAGAGCACTCCACCCGTTCAAAATGCCACTCCTAGAGTCCTCCCTGGTGTTGGTGTGATGTTGGCCCCAGTTCTCTGCTTTTTGCCAAAGCACTCTTCACTTCTTCTTTCTACTTTTTAAGAACTATAGATACTTTGGTGATAAATCTCAAAATATAGTATTCTTAAAGCATTTCAGATAACATTTATAGATCAGAAGATTTCACCTAAAATTTTTTACCTCTTTTTAAAAATCAGAAGTTAACATTGAGTCTGTTTTCTTGCATAGCAAGCAGGCAACTAGAGCTGTATGGCAACTGAACACTTTTAATGGAGCTTTAAGCTTTCCTGTGAAGTTGAGTCCTCTGCACTCATAAGGATGTG